CAGAGTTTTGACTGATGATTGTAGATTATACTAGCTTTAGTGTAACTATAATCTTAATTTTATTAATGACAGGAGGTGAATATTTGCTTAAGTCTCTCTTTACTAGAACTGCACAGCAGCACATTAACATAGCGATAAAAACACCAGAGACAAAAAAATCAGGAATCTATAAAAGCACATTAACATAGCGATAAAAACACCAGAGACAAAAAATCAGGAATCTATAAAAGGCTTCTCCCAACTAACTATTTCCTCTTTCACGCTGCGACAAATAAAGTACATGAATAATACACCACAAATACAATAACAGGAGAAACAAACATAACATAATGATTAATGCCATCCGAAATTGAAACCGTGGAACCAGTGGGTGAAGCCTTGACCTTTATCCTGTAGAGAAGTCGGACCTAAGAACTGTAGCCAAACCATTAAACTGAAACGAGATAAACAGAGTCGAAAACACTGATAAGCTAATGAAATGTACTGAGAAAACATGAATCCCCATCGTAAATACTGACAGTATAATATCCCAGATAGTAAAAAAACCTGAATCCCCATCATAAAATACTGACGGTACCATATCCCAGATAAACCCCAACTCCCCCAGATAACCAACCTAGCCCAGGAGACCAGGTGAATAAACAACAAGTCAGTCAAACCAACAAACAACAAGGGGAGGGAAAAACTGGGAGGGGGATATTCACCTTCTGTCGTTAATAAAGTTAAGATTATCGTTACACTAAAGCTAGTATAGTCTACAATTTTATAGCATGACAGGAGGCTTCATATTTGCTGTTTTAACGCTCGGACAGCAAAGACCAAAGAAACACGATCCGCCGTACCAACCTAAACTCTGTGAAGATAGTTCCTCGTAACCGGCAGGAAAGCATACGATGTCTTGGAGAAAAACGCCCGCCATTTCGGTACCTGAAGTGTTACAGACTGAAGTGAACCGAGAAAACCTATACCTCCTGCCAATGCCAACCACAACCAAGCGGTACATGAGGGGCGAGAAAAAGGGAAGAACCATTTAAACAAACGGTTACGTCGAACACCGCCTAAAGGTGGGAGCGCTACCAAAGTAAGAATATGACCTTTGGGTCCAACTAAGGCTGATAGACAACTAATGTCCGAACCGCCGAACCCATCTGTAAGAAAAACAAGGTATAATAACGGAAATAAATCCATAATCAGTGAATGGGCAAAACCCGACAGAACCCACCATGGGAGCATGACAAAAATGAGTGTTCCCCCTGGGGAAATGAATACCCGTCCTCAGGAATTGTAAAGGGAATTCTAAGCAGTGCGAGGCCTGCCGACAACAGTCGTACGCGCTACCTAATCTAATTAATATGACAGTCCTCGGTAATAAAGTGACTGAACAATACCCGAACCCTGTAAAAGCAGTAGCAAAATTAGGAGATCCGTACCAGACCGAACTACGTCAGGGTCGCCATGCAGACCAAACTTTCACAATCCCCGAGATCAAATAAGCAAGGGTCCAGGGAATCCAGGAACTAGGTTCGACTCAGCCGAAGCGGAAATCATAATTCCAAAGTACCAGCGGACCGAGGCACCTGTAGAAAGGTCCTGAGAGCAAACAAATGAAGGAGATTCGTCCATGTCTCCGTGTCGAACACTCCTGGAGGTAAGCGTCCATCGCTGAGCAAACGGGTCCGTCATCCAGCCGAACTGGTTGGGGTCTGGTGGACTAAAGTCTTGACGCCGGGTCCTCCCAGAGAAAACTATTCCATACGTATGAGAACTCAGGCAGAGGAGAGCGTAGGAGGGACCAGTTGCATCCAATCCGCCCTCAGGGACTCTACTCCTTGAGATGTAGAGGAGGTCGATATTTCCCTGGTTGAAAACAAATTCCAGGGACTCGAACAAGGGAAAACACAGGGAGCATCTGACCTTTCGGTCTGGGAGGTACCTCCAGGTAGACCGTACAGCAAGATGTCCTATATCGAGGAAGAGTCGCGTCCGGGTCCAACGCGTGGAAAAATGAGAAAGATCTCTTCAGATAGTTCTGGTATTCTTAAATGTCCTCAATGTATTGGAGCCCAAATGACTGATGCACAAGATACCTATCTCACCAGGGAGAAAATAGAGGCCACCTTACCAGAACTGGGCCCCACTGTCCCTAGAAGGTTCTCGAGGGCCGCGTCTAATTCAAAATAACTAATGAATATACGTTCAATCGTAGACTCGTGCTGGGACTCCGAGGGGCTCAGATCCCTTTATCCCAAGCACCTCCAGCAGTCTAAATTGCGTTTAGGATAGGGTCGTCTGCCACCCCAGACTCGGGGCCCCGTCTGGGATGTCATCCAAAAGTGGAGGCAAGTGTGAAATTCCAGGTCAAGGGTCCAATCCCCTATAAAAGGTACGGGTTGGAGATAAGCCTCCGTCAAGTATTTCCATGTAAAAAAGGACATATATTATACTTCCTCATATGTTCCGCTAGCACAACTCACTCGTGTAGCGGAGAACAATCAGCTTGCCAGTGCGGACTTAATAGTATAGGCACTGCAGTGGACAGCACTCAGGATCTCCTGAATACTAGACAAGTGCTTAACCAGCAAAACCGCAGTGCCCCATCGGGGTCTAAGTCTGGTTTTGCGGCTACTTTGTTCGGGAGCCCGGCTGGGAATACCGCTCAAATTATCCTGTGGGCTTCTCAAGCCAGCGGTCTATGGCCCAGAAACACACCGATGGTGCTAGTTGATTGGGCAGAGACCATTCCAAAGAAACCAGTTAAGCAATGGATCGAGGGTCGAACAGGGGTTCATTGAAAGTGATCCATGAGACGACCTCTTCTTCCACGGTCGTCGAGGCCCCTGTAGTGGACTTTGTTCTACATCTTATGGTGCCATTAGGGGCCGTCATCATAATCCACACCCCCATCGTCCTCTCCCTCTGAGGGGAACTGGTCCGCCCGCCATTCAGCTAGGATGGCCATGGTGGGGGAGGGGGTTACGGGGACCTTCACCCCTGTGCCACATAGGCAGTGTCGTCTGGCCATCAAGGCCAATCGTATCAGGGCTAGACACTTCTCTGGAGTCTAATCTTTCCGGGCGTCTGGTTCCGGGCCTTCGCCCTACCCGTAGTGCTTATGCACCCTTGCCTGCTCTCCACACGGAGAGTCTGACTCCTTCGAGTCGTCTGCCTTTTTAAGAAGGTGGCCAGTGCCGCATCCGGTGGTCATCGCCTCCCCTGCGCCATATAGGCAGGGCCGTCTGGCCGATTGCAGAGGGGCAAGCCGCTACTCTGAGTCTTATCTTTCCAGGAGCCTGGTTCAGGGCATTCACCCTTCCAATAGCGCTCATGCACACTTGACTGCTCTCCTCATGGAGAGTCTGACTCATTCAAGTCACTGGTTCAGGGCCTTCACCCTTCCGGTAGCACTTATGAGCCCTTGTCTGCTCTCCTCTAGAAGAGTCTGACTCATTCAAGTCGCCTGCCATTTTAAAAGTGGGCCCTCTAGCGTTACGCTCCTGATAAGCTTAAGGGAGGACCCTGGCTGAAGCCTAATTCCACGGAGGAGGTCTCTGCCATAGTAGTCATTGTCTGCGCTGTTAACCTGGATAAGGGTTCTCCTGTGCAGCGGTCCCAGGCAAAGCGATCTCAAGGAGTATAGAGGACAAGTGTCACCAGCAGGGAGATAGGGGCAGCACCCCATATAGTGACTGAGGCAGCGCATGCAATGCACAATTGTGAGTATGTGGCAGTAGGCTTGACATGCAGACATTCTGGCACAGACAGCACAGGCCAGAACAATGGGGCACAGACAAAGCAGGCCAATCAATGGGGCACGGACAAAGCCGTCCAATCAATAAGGGACGGACAAAGCCGGCCAAGTCCTGGGGCACAGACAAGTCAGGACCTTCAGAGATGTACAGGTGAGGAACTGCGCATTCCATTCTTCCGATAAAAAGGTATCTTTCACTCTTCAGATTAATAGCACATAACATACTTCTGTGTAACTATAATTAACACTCTTATGTGTAACTGTACATAACACTCTTGTGCAGCCGTACATAATATCCTTCTGTGTAAACATACAATACATTCTTCTGTGTAACTGTACCTAACGCTCTTCTGTGTAACTGTACATAACATTCTTCTGTGTAACTGTACATAACACTCTTCTGTGTAACTGTATGTACATTCTTCTGTGTAACTGTACATAGCCTTCTCCTGTGTAACTGTACATAGCATTCTCCTGCGTAACTGTACATAGTATATTACTGTGTAACTGTACATAGCATTCTCCTGTGTAACTGTACATAGCATTCTTCTGCGTAACTGTACATAGTATATTACTGTGTAACTGTACATAGCATTCTCCTGTGTAACTGTACATAGCATTCTCCTGTGTAACTGTACATAGTATATGACTGTGTAACTGTACATAGCCTTCTACTGTATAACTGTACATAGCATTCTTATGTGTGACTGTACCTAGCATTCCATTGTGTAACTGTAGATAACGTACTTCAGTTAAATAGTGCCTGACACTCCGTAAATAGTGAACTTGCATATTGAGTACACCTGTAGTCAGGGAGCTCACCAACTGAGTTACCTCACAAGAGGTGCTCCATTGGTCAATATGATAAAACAGAGCGCTGCAAGCAATCATCTGAACAAACAAAAAGGGGGGGGAGGATGAATATAAGTTGTAACACTTCCAGTTGTGCCTGTAACCCTTGAGGGGTTGTGCACAGCTCTATATAGCATGCCTGTGATCTATATCATCCACTATGGTCCCCAGTAGCCTAACCTGGCAGCCACATGGGGCACAAAGCCAGGACAGCCTGAGGGTGCAATGCGCCCAAGTCATAGCTGAGTCCCAGTCAAAGCTACAGCACATGTGCCTGCCATCGACGGAACTAATGCGGTAAGTCTGGTAACTGGCCAGCCCCGCCCCCACCCGACCACGCGGTAGCAGGGAAGTGGATGCTCAGGGCCGCCACACTGCATGGGATAGTAACCCCCCACCCATGACGCGGGAGCAGTTATACCGCGAGCGTAAGCGTTGGGTGGAAGCAGCGGATGGAGCCAGCGGGCGGGATCCAACACGTGGTACCGGCGGCCGGCAATGGAAAGGACCGGAGGACCGCTTTCCGGCAGCCACAAAACGGACGAAAAGTGAAGGGGGCAAAGCCACCGAGAAAAGGTAGAGGGAGGGGAAAAAGGAAGCCCCCACAAACTGGAGAAAAAACAAACAAACCCCAGACAGTGGGGCCCAAAACAGGAAAATGCACAAAAGCCAAAAGAGAAGATACATCCCTACAGCAAAAAAGTAGGGACAGAAAAATACAATCTAAACAAATAAATCATAACGGCAGTAGGAAGGTAAACACATTCTAAACAAATAAATCCCTGCAGCCATAAGAATGTAGATGCAGAAAAACAGAGTAAATAAATCAATCAATCAAGCAATCACTACAGCACTAAGCAGGTAGGTGAAGAAAATACAGTATAGCTAAATAAATCAATCAATCCCTACAGCACTAAGAAGGTAGATGCAGAAAATACCCTCTAAACAAATAAATCAATACAGTAATAAACATATAAATACATTAAATTATCCACAACCACCCATATATAACAGGAGGCAGTGGTACTCTGACCTGTACTGACTGCGGAGCAGCAAAGAAAGAGGAAATAGCCTTTTATAGATTCCTGATTTTTTTGTCTCTGGTGTTTTTATCTCTATTTTAATGTGCTGCTGTGGAGTTTTAGTAAAGAGAGACTTAAGCAAATATGAAGCCTCCTGTCATGCTATAAGGGCACCCCTTTGATTTCTCTAATTTTTGTAGCGAGTGGTTCAACAGAAAGAAATGATACAAAATAGGCGATAAAGGGCTTCCCTTTCTGATTCCGATTTTTAATTCAAACCAGTCTTAACATACGTTCGTCCCCACCACCCTTGCTGTAGGAACAGTATATAATGATTTCATAGCACTAAGCATCCAATCGCTCACACCATATAGTTGTAATGTGGCGAACATGTACTCCCATCCCACCCTGTCGAACGCATTTTCCTGCGTCTAACGACAGGGTAAGGAGGGGAGTACATACCCGCTCAGTAGAGTCTAAAATATTGATTATTCTTCTAATATTATTACAAGAAGGCATTCCTGGCACATAGCCAATCTAGTCCGGATGTATATTGTCTAACAAAATGTTATTCAAACATTCAGCTAATATTGAAGAAAATAACTTAGTATCAACATTTATCTGTGAGATAGGACGGTAGCTGGTTAAATCTGCTGAATTATTTCCCTGTTTTAATATAGGTAAGATATTTGCTTTTAGCATTTCATGAGGAAAAATGCCTTTACTTACGATATCATTAAAAGTTGAAACTAAATGTTGTGCTATTTCTTTTTTAAATAGTTTGTGAAATAAATTGCTGAAATCGCCAGGACCTGGTGTTTTATTTTGTGCTATTTTATCAAGAACTTTTTCAACTTCTGTTATATTTATTGGTTGATTTTATCTGTTTATTTTTTCGGTTGGAATTGGGGGTGGACTTATATCATTCAGATAATCATTGATGTCTTCTTTTGAGGCCTTCTTGGGAAGATTATAATGCTGTTTATAAAAATCAACAAATGCATTAGCTATATCTTTGGGGGTCATGTATACTTGATCATTAACTTTTATTATAGAGATTCTTTCTTTTGATTTTTTTTTTTTGTTTGTTTATTTGTTAAGATTTTATCAGCCCTATTTCCTTTATGGTAAAATTTCATTTTAAGGCAGTCTAAATTTTTAATAGTCATATCCAGTGGTTCAATCTTACTTGAAATTTATTCAAGATTTCTTTGGATTGTAGTAGTGAAATTGTTTTTATTTTTTTTTGAGAAAAATGATAAAACTGTATATAAAGCTCCTCCGTTAAAGAAGCACCTCTCGATTTAATTTGATTAGATTTTAATTTAATAATATGACCTCTGATATCTGCTTGAAAAGCACACCAAACTGTAGTATATGTAAGCTGCTGTGAGGAGTTCTCTTGAAAAAAAGAAAAAGAAAAAAGAAAAATGTTATTACATTACATGTATATTCTTGATTTGGTTGTTTTTTTAAGAATATAGTCATCTAATCGCCATGTAGTTCTAGTTCTATCTCTTAGTGTTTCATTTAGTTCTAAGATAACTAAACTATGGCCAGACCACACATTATCTTTTATATGTCTTTCTGGTGTTCCCCACTATTGACATGTCACCGAAAAAAAGGTCAAGTTGAGAGAAAGATAGATGTACTTTGAAGAAGTGTGTGTAATCTTTTTCACACGTGTGGTAAAATCTCCATATATCGGCCAAATTTGCTTCTTTTGTACATTTATTTAATTCTTTTGATTGTTTAATGGCGTTTTTGTCTACCTTATTGGAGGTATTAGATGTCTTATCCATATAATAATCTGGAACACAATTTAAATCTCCTGCAATTAGAAGTTGTCCAGTTCTGACTTGTTTAATTTCTTTTATAATCTTTTCAAGAAAGTGAACTGGACATGTATTTGGTAAATAAACATTTACTAAAGTGAATAGTTGATTGTTAATCGCACAAACACTAAAGTAATATAACAACCGTCTATATCCTTACTGATATTTAACATTTACTTGTATGGTTTTATCCAATATAATGGCCACTCCTCTTTTTTTATTATCAGGTAGGGAAGCGGAATATACATGCCTGAACTTATTAGTCCACCATTTTTATTCATCTTTTGCCTTCCAGTGAGTTTTTTGAATCATTAAAATATTTATTGCTTCCTTTTTCATTGTTTTTAGGACCATTTGTCGTTTGAAGTTAGAATTAATTCCCTGTACATTTACTGTCATAAAGCTAAATATAATCGAAAAAAACTCAAATTACACCTCATTCCCTGTCTATGGCTGGCAGCAAAACAAACCAACATACATACATACATACATACAAAAACCACATTTGTGGAAGTCTTCTTGACCCTCAAGAAAGACATACCACAATCTAATCCTTCTAAATAGAGGGAATAAGTAGGACCGATTACCCCTGACATACCAAGGGAAGTGGGACAAACTACTAAGTTCAATGAACCTACGGCAGGGGTAATCTACCAGTTCAAGCGAACATTATTATTATTTTATACTTCTTGGTAGGTATTGAAAAATAAATAAATAAGAAAAAATGTACACCAACTATTTCCTTAATTCCTTATTATTAAATCTTCTTGTGACGGACCGCCTGGCACCCCGACCGGATACTTCCAGCAATTGATGCTCCTAGTGCTTTCCGAGGGCTCCAAGCACTCCACCAGACACATAAGCACTGCAGACCCCACTTCAAGCGATGCAGCTGCGCCAGGGTCTCGCCATCCTTCACCCACCCTGGACCCAAGACCAGGATCCAGCTTCCAGTGGGTAGGCCTCTCTCAGTCCCGAGAGCGTAGCAGGAACAAGCTCTTACAAGAGCTAGTGATTATACTCATGGGAGTATTGTGATATAGCAATTCCCAGAGTGTATGTAGTTCTCCAATCCCTCAATCATGAGCCAAGACTTCATGAAGGGGTAAAGCATTCTGTTTAATGGAAGCCAGCACTTACAATTTATACATACATTTAAACCCCCAACAGCCTCATTTACATACAGTAGGTTACATAGAGCACTATAGTACAAGGAAGGGTGGGGTCAGATAACAGCAAGGGCTAATGGGAGATTGAGGAGGGACAAAGCAGCTAGTTTAAACTAGTCTGTCAGAGTATCCCTGGGATAATGCCCTGCTGGGGAAACAATGGGACAGGGAAAAGGGGGAGGGGAAGAGGCACAGACAAAGCAATACATTCAACATACTCCTCCTCTGTGTCTGAGAGATAATTAATTATCTCCAGGTACAGAAAAACACACAATTTACAAACACCCCAAAAGTACCCACAAGATCCATGGAAACCCCACAAGAGATAGCCCTGATCTGGGTGACCAACATATCCAAAAATCACCCAGATCGGTTCAGTGGTTTAGTTTTTCCATGGAAGTCACTTTTTAACATGTCTTTTTGCAGGGCCCATAATCCTGGGGCAAGAGGCTGGCAAGCAGGCCCCTCCAAGTACCAGTGGCGAGGTTACTTTCACCACACTTCTTATTAGTGCACTCCGTCATATCCCTATTAATTAGATATTACACTATATTATAAAATGACCAGTGCTTGTGTTACAATATGTGATCATATTAGAATATGTGGTTATATTATAATGTGTAGATTAAGTAAGAACCTCTTGTGTTATATCAAAATATATATCTTTTCTAACTTGTCTTACAATTAGTAAAATTTAAACCATCCTTTTAATATACCTTGTCATAAAGTATTTGTGTAATATGTGAATTTTTCTAATTCACTCTTACCGTTGTATCTTGTGTCTATATAAAATGCAATTTGTGCTATGCTCTACACACTGTTCCAAATTATAATGCAAATTATATATTTTTTCATTTACCTAAATAATTGAAATAAATAACAGTCAGCATAATTCTCATGTTATCAACTATTAAAAGTACAATTCAAATTTTATTGAACAAGCCTCCTAATGATAACAGTATTTTTTTAAACATAAAAAACTTACAATGCACTGTTCCAAATTATTACGCACAGTAAGTTTCAAAACACTTTATAGGTTGTAAAGAACTGAAAATTGTCATATGTTGTGTTTGCAGCATATTAACTGAAATCAAAAGCTATTTCAATCAAACTTATAACAACATTTTAACTTTTTAAACATTTTAACAGGTCACATTACATTTTAACATAGGACCCCTTATTTGATAGCAGCTTCACAAATCTTGCATCCATTGAACTTGTGAGTTTTTGGACAGTTTCTACTTGAATTTGTTTGCAAGATGTCAGAATAGCCTCCCAGAGCTGCTGTTTGGATGTAAACTGCCTCCCACCCTCATAGATATTTTGCTTGAGGATGCTCCAAAGATTCTCAATAGGATTGAGGTCAGGGGAGGATGGAGGCCACACCATGACTTTCTCTCCTTTTATCCCCATAGCAGCCATTGATGCAGAGGTGTTCTTTGCAGCATGAGATGGTGCATTGTCATGCATGAAGATGATTTTATTACGGAAACCATAGTTCTTCCTTCTGTACCACGGAAGAAAGAGGTCAGTCAGAAACTCCACATACTTTGC